AATGGCTGAAAAATATTCCATTACATGGATACACGGCATCTTGTTTATTCATTCAGGTGATGAACATGCGGGTACATCTTTGGACTATTATAAATAATGTTGTTATGAACATTTATTTATGTTTTTGGGTGAATATTTATTTTCTGTTTTCCTGGCTATATATCTAGGAGTAGAATTGCTGGGGTCATATGCCAATTCTATGTTTATGTTTTAGAGGAATTGCTAGACTGTTTTCCAAAGTACCTGCACCATTTCACATTTGTACCAGCAATATATAAGAGTTCTGGTTTCTTCACACCCTTGTCAACACTTATTATTATCCGATTTTTTGGTTATAGCCTTCCTGGCAGGTGTAAAGTAGAATCCCACTGTGGTTTTAATTTGCCTTTCCCTAGTGGCTAATGATGCTGAGCATCTTTTCATGTGCATAGTGGCTATGTCTATGTCTTTCCTGGAGAAACGTCACCCGTATGTTCACTGCAGAACTGTTCACAATAGTAAAGACATGGACCCAACCTAAATGCCCATTGTTGAAAGAGCAGCCAAAGAAAGTGTGGTATATATACACTATGGAATACTATGCAGTCATAAAAAAGAACTAGATCATGTCTTTTGTAGGGACGTGGATGGGGCTGAAGGCCATTACCCTTAGCAAACCATAACACAGGATTAGAAAACCAAATACTACATGGTCTCACATATAAGTGGGAGATAAATGGTGAGAACACATGGACACATAGAGGGGAACAACACACACTGGGGCCTATCAGAGGGTGAAAGTTGGGAGGAGGAGGAGGATCAGGAAAAATAACTAATGACTACTAGGCTTAGTATCCATGACTAATGGGTACTAGGAATGGGTGATGAAATCATCTATACAACAAACTCCCATGACACAAGTTTACCTATGTAACAAACCTACACATGTACTCCTGAACTTAAAATAAAAGTTAAAAAATACATTTTAAAAATATTACATAAACGTGAACCATATCTGGAAAAGAAAAGCTTGAAACATTTTCCAATATACATGAGCATACCACTGTTTATTCTTAGCCACTTTTGCATCAGAATTTGCTGATTGTGTGCTACATGGTAGATACTGTGCTCAGCACTGAGCGTACTGTAAGAAAACAGACATGATTTCTGCCCTCACGAAGACTAAATTTAGTGAGAGAATGATAATAAACAAGCAAAATAAGAAACAGAAATGCAACTGTAGGTTGTAAAGAGCACTTTGAAAGAAAGCAATCAGTACTATGATGGACAGCAATGGCAGGATAAAGCAAACTTGTTTTGATATAGTGGTCAGGGAAGCTCTAAGGCATCAACATATGAACTGAGACTTGGGAACTCAAAACATAAGTGCTGGCTTTCAATATTTGTCAAAGATATGTTCAACATAAGCAGTTTCTTATATTGAACAATAAAAACAAAAAGCATTAAAATTCCAAAGAAAAATAATTTCAACAAATAGAGCAACCTCTACCACCTTCTATAGTATGATATGCAGGGTCCAAAAAATCCAGTACCATAAAAATGGGGTAAAGTCATTGTAAGGTTAATGAAATGCACTGAAAGAGCTTACTGTGATCTCACTGTGTTGCCCAAATCCAGCAGGGTCCCAGCCACAGTTTGGAGCCACTTGATCATAGCTTTCTGCTCCATCTTAACTATAAATGGGGATGATTCTAGGTCCCTTTTACAGGCTAAAGTTCCTTGGCAGAAGCAGCAATTCCATGAATCTAGTTAGCTGATGCCTTTTTTTGTCAGCCTGATGGAAAGACTGAGACAAGAGAATGTTGAAAGCACAAAGCACCACCCCTTATCTCCCTGACATTTCCCCTCATGGCCCAGTTTCTCTTCCACTTAGCCTTCCCCCAAACTTCAAATTTCCAGCCTACTCCTGTTTAGAATGAGGGCTAGGCAGAGGACCAGAGCAAATATAGCTGAACATGGATTATCATGGTGGGATGGGGGAGTTGTTATAGGCATCAACTGCTACTTGCCCATTCAATATCTATTTCCTGCTCTTAGTAACAGAACCCAGATTTTGTTCAGGAGGTAATGTGCCTAGTTGAATGAATTACATGCTTCCTCAGACTCTATTGCAGTAGGCATGGTTAGGTGATGTAGTTTGACCAATAAGATGTCAATTAAGGGGTTTGGGAAAGCTCTGCTTTAATAATATAGGCATCACTTATTTCCATTTCCTTTTACATCTTCTCCCTTAGAATTTGGGGATGAGGAGGGAGACAGGGCAATCATGTTGGTTGGACTATGAGATAACCATGAGGATGAAAGGTTTATGTGAAAAATGGTGTTGGAGAAAAGTAGAAGGTAGATGGGCACTGACACCACTGCAGAGCTGCTGCCCCAACCTAGATAGCCTACCTCCAGATTTCCAGTAGGCGACAAAGCCAACCTTTATTTGACTGTGGTTAGATTACTGTGATGACATATAGTCATCTGAAATCCTAACAGATACAGTTGTCTACCGTAAACATAAACTTAACGTCTCTGGATGAATCCAAAGTTTTTAAGGTTTTAACGTAAAAAGTCCAACTCTCATGCCTGATAAAACAGAAAATGCACAACTCTCCAAACCATATCACCCACTACAGAGTGGCAAGTACAGGTCACTAAACAAAAGCAGCACAGAAAAGTGACTTCGGAGAGGGAGTCATTTAATGCCCCTTATCTTCATTAACCCCATTCCCCAAGTCATACCACATAAACAGAAATTGCAGGTAAAACTGTGCTTACTATGTAAACATACTTCCAGACAAGTTCCTTGTTGCCCTAGATTGCCATCTCTAAAATTCTCCTACATGGCAATTCTGCTACAGCCTAATTTCCAGGGAAGCTCCACCCACAGTTAAAGTTATGATTTAGGGTTCATCACTACATATACCTTGAAACTTTTAAGCAGACACATTAATGTGGCTCAAGGAATGTTAACAACTTTTTCCACTTTTGCCCCAGCCAGTTTCTATGCCAATCCAAAATGGCTTCTTTATCACCATCTGCTTACACACACAATGCCTCACCCTCCAAAACAGAGTTCTCAAATTATGCTTACAGAATTCATTATCCTCCAGGGTAGATCACCAAAAATAATGTGAGTATTTATACAGAAAGTACAGTTCAGATAAAGCAATATATTAATAGGCCAAATTAGAAAAGAAGGATAGCACGCTGCTAGTTTTCTATATGCACTCTTGCCGATGAGAAATTAAACATTTTTGCATCATGCCAGGAGCAGTGACTCAGGCCTGAAATCCTAGCAGTTCCGGAGGCTGAGGCGGGTGGATCACTGGAGGTCAGGAGTTTGAGACAAGGCTGGCCAAATGGTGAAGCCCCTTTTCTACTAAAAATACAAAAATTAGCAGGGTGTGGTGGTTGGTGCCTGTAATCCCAGCTACTTGGGAGGCTGAGGCAGGAGAATTGCTTGAACCAGGAGGCAGGAAGTTGCAGTGAGCCAAGATCAGACCACTGCACTCCAGCCTGGGTGATAGAGCAAGATTCTGTTTCAAAATAAATAAATAAACAAAATTGCATCCAAAGTTGAATGGAGATTGCTTTTATTATTGCAAATAAGATAATAACCTTTCAAGCAGGAAAACAACAAAAAAGAAAACTATATAATGAAATTTTTTTTTTAATCCCAGAACCAAAATATGGAAAGACTTCCTGATGAAAACTTGCGTGGAGTCAATCAGAATTACATATTATTTTCATTTCCCAGCAGAATTACTCCATCAGGTTTTCGGATATCTTTCTAAAGTTTCTCAGTAAAATTTCAGAAAATAAAAATTCACCAAAGAATGATATAAATTGAGTTGAGTCCCAATAATTATTTGTAATTGCAAATTCTTACATGTTAAATTGCCTGTTTAAGAGAGCTTTTTTAAATTTTTAAGGGAAAAATTCCGTACTCTTTTTTTTTTAGGTAGGCAGGGACAATCAGGAACAGGAACAATCAGGGACAATCAGGACAATCAGAAACGGTCTTCAGCATCACCAAGACAAAGACTAAAGAAACATGTAATGCACAACTTTGGCTGCCCCTTCATCCAAGGCGATTCAAACTTCCACGGATACTAAGCCTTCAGTGTCCGGTGTCAACCTTTCATAGAAGCATACCAGAAAACGCTATGATTGCTTTCCTCACCACGGAGTCTAAGTGACACAAATTTTGCCAGAAGTAATTATTTGGCCAACCCAGGAGGCACGAAGCTTAAACACTGCCCCTGTAAGAAGGTCTGGGGGATCCGAAGCAAATACCCCAAAGTTTGTTTGGGAATGGAGGGGCTGAGGCGCCCGGAGCCACCCCGCGAGGTTCACCTGGTCCGCGCACAGAGCTGGGTAGGGGTCGGGTCTAGCCCCAGTTTGCTCCTGAGCGCTTCGTTCCCCTCAGGCTAGTTTGTTTAAATCAATACTGGGTGGCAAATGATGCCCATTCTTTGGGCTCTGAAGTTTGGAATTCAGGGGTTCTGCGGCACAAGAAAGTTCTTCACAGGTTATTTCCATGTCCAGGGCTGTCGCTGAGAGCGCATCTCCTCCCGGTGCGGCCCCGGGCTGTCCACCGAGCAGCCGGGCAGATCGCTGCCCAGTGCCGCCAGCATCTTGACGCCGCCAGACCCCGAGGCTGTGGGGCAGCATCTCCTACCTGGGACAAGCGGCCAGAACTCCTTTTCTCACGGGGAGGAATGCTCAGGGCCCCGGGGAGAGTGCGCATCCTAAGGAGATATCTCCCAACGCCTAGACAAAGACTGCGCTGGGAAAAGTTGGACCAACCGGCACCCCCGGAAGGCGAACAGAGTAGCCCTTCGGCCTTGGTGGCCGAGCCGGCAACGCGCTCTCGGAGTCGCGGCCAACTTTTCCCGTGAGCTTCTCAGCAACTTGCCGCAAGTTGGGGCGAGAGGGCAGAGTAGGGGTCAAGGGCGCGCGGAGGGGCTGATGTCGCCCCAGCCGGTTTCTCGTACCTCCCCGCGTACCTGCTGATGTATCCGTCCCCGTCGCCGTCGCACGTCTGGAAGAGGCGCCGCATCCTCTCCTCCTCGCCGGTGCTGGACGTGTCGCTGCTGCCGCCGCCGCCGCCGCCGCTGCTGGCGCTCCCAGCAGCCGCTGCCGCCATCATGCGCCCGCTCCCTGCTTGGGAGGAGGAGGACGCGCGGCCGCTGCAGGAATCCGCCGGGAGCGCAAGCTGCCTGCAGCCCCGAACCTGCCTGACAATGGAGCATGCCCAGTGGCCGCCGGGGCGCTCCGGGCGAGGGATTCCACCTTTCCGGGTTTTGCCCGGGCTGGGAAGATGGGCGCCCTGGAATCGCCCGAGTGAGCACCTCAGGGAAGAGGGAGGAGGGGAAGGTGGCTGGAGCAGTCAGGAAGCCAAGGGTGGCAACGGGAACGCGAGAGGAGGCAGAATACACTAGAGGGCCCCGGGAAGGGTGTCAGCATTGTGCATCTGGCCACGACGCGGGCCCTGGACACTTAGGGACGCTTCAGGCAGAGGACGGGTGTTCTCCTGGTGGAACTCCAACCGCCGGGAGTCGTGGATTCCTTTTCCAGAAAAATCATCAAAATTCCCGTTCTGCAAACTCAAAACGGGGCTTGTCATCTCACTTTCCAGGAATGTTCCAGGTTTTGTACCCATATCACCCAGTGAGAACCGGAATGACTGGCCTTTTTATGAAATTTTGACACCTGTCAAGAAACCTGGCCCTCGCAGCCCTGATCTTGGCTTCCACTCTGTATTGGGAACGGTCTGCAGTCCTGTGTGGCATTGTGCAGGTTGGGTCCATTTCTGGAAACGGCTCACTGTACTGGCCGGGCATCACTAGAATTTGTCCCCGACAGCTTTAATAGTGCCAAGAGCAAACATAATAGTTGGTCTCATTTGATCCACACTACAGACCTGGAAGATGCCTCTTTTACTATCAATCCTACGACTTAGGAAGTATTAATAGATAAGTACCTCATAGGGGTATCTTGAGTATAAAAGGAGAACATACATAATGCACTTAGGACAGTGTCCGACACTTACTAAGTGCTCAACAAATGTTAGCTCTCATTGTTCCCAATTTAGAGATAAGAAACCTGAGGTGCCAAGACCTGGTCAAGGTTCCAGGTTTAGTAAGTGTCAGGGCAGAGGCAAGCCCAGGCAGCCTAAGGCCAGAGCAGGAGCCTTTAAACACTGCACTATTCCCCCGTAGCCAAAGGGGAACCACAATGAAGCAATTTGTGGTTTAGTGAATGACTCATTATTCTGTCCTAGATTTTCTGCCAGAGGCCTGTGAAGTTCTCTGGTGGTTTTAAAATATGTTCATAGATTTTTTTGTGCATCCCTCATCAAGAAGTGGAGTCTGTTGCTTCCCCTAAAGCTGACTAAACTTGTGATTGCCTTGACTTCTGAGGCTAGGTTAGAAAAGGCAATGAAGATTTCACTGGTTCTCTCCCTTGGAACACACATCTTTGAAGCCCTGAGCTTCCTGAAAAGAAGTTTGGCTACCCTGAAGCAGGAGAAAACATTTAGAGAAAGCATGTAAAGAAAAAAAAAAAGAGATGACCAAAGAGCTAAAGCTATTCTAGCCCCCGGATCTTTGAATCTTCCCAGACTAGGTGCCAGACATGAGCTCTGGATGCTGCAACTGCATTAGAGACCCTGAGCAAAACTGGCTAACCAACCCCCAGAGCTGTGAAGTTAATAATTAAGAATTGTTGTTTTAAGCCATCAAGTTTTGAGGTGGTTTGTTATGCAGCAATAGATAACTGGAACAAGTTCATATATCTTGGGAACATCTGCCAGGTCAGAGGGAAGGGAACTTTGCCCTCTTGCTCCCCACTCACCCCATCCACCTAGTCCTACTTCTTTATAATTCACTAAGTTCCCAAGATTTCAGGGCACTGAAATTGTAGATTAATGGGTTATTGAGTTAATGGATTATCATTGGAGTGGGACTAGTGATTTTACAAGAAGAGAAAGAGAGACCTGAGTGAGTTAGCAGGCTCAGCCTCCTTGCCAAAACATGCCCTGCCCTGTTTTGGGGACTCTGCAGAGTCCTCACCAGCAAGGTGGTCCCTTGACCTTGGACTTTTCAGTCTCCAGAACTGTAAGAAATAAATTCATTTCTTTATAAATCACCCTAGTTTCAGGTAGTCTGTTCTAAGCAACAGAAGATGGACTAGACCAGCAATTAGTATTGAGAGTGCGGTGTTAACAACAAATACCTGAAAATATAGAAGCAGCTTGGAAACTGGTTAATGAGCAGAGGCTACAAGAATGAAGCAGCAGTCTAGAAAAAGTGTAGGTTATAGAAATGGCTTAGAAGGCAAGAAGAACAGAGAAAGTTTGGAACTCCTTAGAAATTGGTTAAATGGTCATGATCAGAATGCTGATGGAACTATGGACAGTAAAGGCCATTCTGACAAGGCCTCATATGGAACTGAGGAACAAGTTGGAAGATGGAGTAAAGGCAATCCTTGTTATAAATTGGCAAAGAATTTGAATGAACTGTGTCTATGCCTGAGGGCTGAACTTGAGAGAGATAAACTAGGATATCTGGTCAAAGAAATATCTAAGCAGTAAAGCATTCAGGCTGCTGTGTGGCTACTTTTAACCACTTACATCAAGCTGTGAGAGGAGAAAAAAACCCTTAACAAAGGAATTTATAATCATAAGAGAAGCAAAGTGGAAAGATTTGGAAAACTCTCAGTCTGGCCATGTAAAGAGTGAAAAGATGTGTTTGGGAGAGGAAACCAAAGAGTGTAGCCCAGCAACCTCTTGCTAAGGAGATTAGTAAAGGGAGAAAGTATCATCAAGAGAACGAAAGACCTCAATGGCATTTCAGAGAACATTGAGTTGCCCCTCTCAATCACAGACCCAGAGGCAGGAGGACAGAATGGCTCCAGGAGACAGACCCAAGGCACTCTTCATGGGCTTGCTGCCCAGGGCTCTCTCAGGTCTTTGCTTCCCACATTCTGTTACAGTGCTTCTTAGACATGCCATCCATGGTTCAAGCAGCTCCAGGTGTGAACTGACCTGCCACTTAAGAAGGTAAGAGCCATAAGCCTTAGTGGCATCCATATGGTTCTATTATAATTCTTCAGATTTGCAGAAAGCAAGAGCTGTGGAGGTGTGGTGGCCTCCACTTAGATGTCAAAGGATTTTTGCTGAAAGCCTGGGTCCAGGCAAAAACTCGTAACAAGGGAAGAGCACTGCAGAGAGCTCCAACTAGGGCAGTGTTAAACAGAAATGTGGGGTCAGAGCTGCTACAGAGAGTTTCCAACAGAGAGTCCCAGTGAAGCTGTGGGACCAGGATCACTTCCAGGACCCCAGAACTGTGGAGTCACTAGCAGCATGCAACATCTGCCTGGGAAAGCTTCAGGCATGAGGCTCCAACCTGTACTGGCAGCTATACGGGCTGCACCCAGCAAAGTCATAGAGGTGGGGCTGTCTAAAGCCTTGGGGGCCCAACCCTTGCTCTAGTGTGTCCAAGAGGCAGCACATGGAATCAAAAAAGATTATTCTCCTGCTTTAAGATGTAATGTCTTCCCTGCTAGGTTTTGGACTTCCCTGGGGTCTGTTGCTGTTTTCTTTTTGTTTATTCCTTCCTTTTGGAATGGGAATGTCTGTTGTATGCCTGTACCGCTATTGTATCTTGAAAGTGGATAACTTGCTTTGATTTCACAGGAAGATGAAATTCTGGACTTTGGATTTCTGAGTTGGTGCTGGAACAAGTTAAGACTTTGGGGCTACCAGAATGAAATACATGTATTTGTATGTGAGAAGAACATAAGTTTGAGGGGGCCAGGGACAGATTGCTATGGTTGAATGTTTGTACCCACTTGAAATTCATGTTGACACAATTCCCAATGTGACTGTATTGAGAGGTGGTTGGGTCATGAAGGCCCTTCCCTCATAAATGGATTAAATCATTCATGGATTAATGGATAATCATGGGAATGGGACTATTGGCTTTACAAGAGGAAGAGAGTTCTGACCTAGCATACTCAGCCCCTTTGCCAACCTATGCTCTGTGCCGTCTTCAGCCTGCAGAGTTCCCACTAGCAAGAAGGCTGTTCACCAAATGTGGCCCCTCAACTTTGGACTTTCCAGCATGTGGAACTGCAATAAACAAATTTCATTTCTATGTTTATTACCCCAGGTTCAGGTATTCTGTTATAAGCCACAGAAGACAGACTAAGACACTATCTACTATCTAATAATATTTTATTGAAAGTTGCTACCAGCAACACAAATATTCCTATCTACAACAAAACAAGAACCAAAGCCCAAAAGTATATGTATATTTAAATTTATATGTATATAATTTTTTTAGTCCTAATTTTTCTAATTTTTATAGAATAAAACTTCTGTTGTTTGACAATACAGCCAGACAGGAGTTGTTACACTCAAATTTTTCTAGAGAAATTCCAGTTTAAGACTGAAAAAGAAATAAAAAAGCATTTTTCTAAGTACAACATGTATGGAGGGGCTGGAAACCCAAAGGGTTTTGCAAAATTTGAACACATCTCTCTATGACCACAGTTCATGTACACAGAATGGACAGTAAAGCCCAACCAATTACATTTCAAAACTAAGAATATTTTTCTCCTTACAGAATATGTACAACAGCTATGGATGTTTAAATTTAAACAAGTTTGAATTAAATTTAAACACCCAAAAAGAGAATCTTGACAAATTTCCTAAACATTTTTTTCATGCTTGGGTAACTCAGAAATGGCTGAGCAGATAGGTTCAACATCCCAGAAGAAAATTTGCTTCTGAGTTGATATGAAACATGTGAAATTTCAGCCTAAATGGTTAACAGGAGAGAGAGAAATTTGTAAGACATTGAAAATAGAGATGCATAGGATATAAAGATGATAAATATAAAGGAGGAGCTTTGAGTGAGAGCCACTCTCTTAAAGAGTGAGGGGTACATACCTATTGCCATAAATCTAACAGCACTGGTTATGTCATAATTCAAAGGTTTCATGTATTTATCTGAGATGAGTACATAGCTCAACCTCTTTGTTCTCATTCAGCTTTTCTCTTCTATTTATACAGTACATTTCAGAAAACACTGTACACATTACAAGATATCCTACCCCATATGTCTAAAATTACGAGTTAAAATAAATAAAACAACTGCAGTGCTTTGCAAACTTGATAATCTGGTGCCTGTCCTTCCAAATTTGATTTACCTAAACTAAGACTATATGCAACCATCCTTTTCTCAGGGTTGTACTATGTCCAATCAGCGCATAGTGAGGGCAGCACTGCTAACGCCTACACAACACACCTGCATCAACTAAAGGTTTGCTTTTACCTTGATGCAATTTTCAGTAAAATGAAAATCCACTTTCCATGGGAAAAAAAAAGTTAAAAAAAAAAAAAAAGAAAAGGCAGCTGAGTGCAATGGCTCACGCCTATAATCCCAGCAATTTGGGAGGCCGAGGTAGGAAGATCACTTGAGGTCAGGTTCAACCTCAAGTGATCTGCTTATCTCGGCTTCCCAAGTTCAACCAGGCTGGTTGAACTGGTTGAATCTGGCAAAACCCTATCTCTACAAAAAATACAAAAATTAGCTGGGCATGGTGGTGAGCACCTGTAATCCCAGCTACTTGAGAGGATAAGGCAGGAGAATGGGAGAATCATTTGAATCAGGAGGTGGAGTTTGTAGTGAGCCAAGATTGCGCCACTGCGCTCCAGCTTCGGAGGCAGAGCACGACTCCATCTCAAAAAAACGGCTATCTGTAGGAGTTGGAGTGAGGACCCCATGGTGTCCCTGGCTCACCATTGTCTCTAAGATGTTTTTACCATCCCGTCTAAATTCCAATATTCCTCAAGAAGCTTTTCTTCACCACTATAGGACACACTTACCTTCCAAAGTTCTCTTAATTAAAGCACACATCGTGAGAGAAGTGAAACATACAGTTTAATAGTGATTTGCCTCCCAACTCAATAGTATCCAATATGATTAAAAGAAGTTGCAAATTCCTGAGAGAAAATAGTGAGGTAGAGTTAAGAGAGCTTAACTAAGTTGTATTGGGTTCTTATCACAAATCAGTCATGGGTTTAAAATTATACCTTACTTAATGCTTTCTAGTGGGGTAGGTATTTATTATCTCTATTTAAGGGTAGATGTTGACGAGTGAGAGTAACTAATTCCAAAGGTTAAGTAGTGTCCCTGTTTTAGTCTATTTTGTGTTTTTGTAGCAGAATACCACAGATTGGGTAATTTATAAAAAAAAGAAATTTGTTTCTTGCCATTCTGGAAGCTGCGAAGTCTAATTATCAAGGTGCCGGCGTCTTTCAAAGTCTTTTTACTGTGTCCTCCCATGGTGCTGTAAGTGAGAGAGCAAGAAAGGGTAAGAAGGGCAAATTCATTCTTTTACCAGTAACCCATTGCAGCAACTACGGCATTAATCCATGCATAAGGGCTCTGTCCTCATGACCTAATCACCTCTTAAAAGTCCCCTCACAACATTGCTGAACTGGGGATTATGTTTCCAACACATGAATTTAGGGAGACACAAGTACAGAAGCTAGAGTTGAACTTGTTTCTACCAATCAAAGCCATGTTCTGGACATAGACTTCATATTGTCTTAGCATCAGATCCAGTCCTATTCACATTCACAGTCATATAGGCATTACACTTCTTGAGGAAGAGTTCATAACTCCTTTTCATAAACACTTATAAACTTCATATTGATATATTTATTATATATTTATAACTATAAGAGGACTTCATGAGGTTTTATTATCTGTCAAAAGTTAGGTTCTCTGGGAAGCAGACTCCAATATGCAGTTCACATGCCGGACACTTACTATGGAGTGCCCCAAACTGTGGAGAAGGGAAGCGAAGGAAGCAGGATGGGATGGAGGAGAGAGAATCTATGCTGTGATGCAGGGCTGAGAGCAGCCTTGTAGGACCTCTAAAGTGGCCTTTATTACTTTCCTATTGTTGCTGTAACAAATTACCATAGGGCTGTGGCTCCTCATATTGGAAAATAAGTTGTCCATGTTCACACTGGGTGAAGGAAGCTGAAGCCACAGAAATGACTGAGTCCTACATGAAGAAGAAATGACTGAGTCCTCCACTCTGCTGGACGCCATCACCAATAAGAACCCCCTGGTGCAGGAGCATGTCTGCAGTGCCCTGTGTTCCCTTGGGGAATTGCAGCCAGTGGAGATGCTCTGTGCCTGTGAGGAGTACCTGCGGCAGCCTGACAAGCTGGTGCACCCATACCGAGAGGCAGTCCTGAGGGCTACAGAGAAGGTCCTGAGCAGTTGTGCCAGTGAGCTGGTCAAGGACACAGCCAGCACCATCATCCTCCTGGCCTCCAGTGAGATGACCAAGATGAAGGACCTGGTCGGGGCCTGGCAGCAGGCAGCAAGTGGCCTCCTGGTGGCCGTGGGAAGGCAGTTCATCAGCAAGGTGATGGAGGAGCTGCAGCGCAGGCTGCAGCCAGGGGCCCTGCCACACTGTGCCATGCTGCACACATTCGCCAGACTCTCAAAAACTCAAAACCTAGCAGAAGACAAGAAATAACTAAGATCAGAGCAGAACTGAAGGAGATAGAGACACAAAAAACCCTTCAATAAATCAAGAAGATCAACAAAATAGACAGACCAATAGCCAGATTAATAAAAAAGAAAAGGGAGAATAATCAAATAGATGCAATAAAAAACAATAAAGGAGATATCACCACAGATTCCACAGAAATACAAACGATCATCAGAGATTATTACAAACATCTCTATGCGTGTAAACTAGTAAACCTAGAAGAAATGGCTAAATTCCTGGACACTTGCATCCTCCCAAGCCTAAACCAGGAAGAAGTCGAAATCCTGAATAGACCAATAACAAGGTATGAAGTTGAGGCAGCAATGAAGAGCCTACCACCAAAAAAATCCCAAGTCCAGACGGATTCACAACCGAATTCTACCAGACATACAAAGAGGAGCTGGTAACATTTCATATGAAACTATTCCAAGCAATCCAGAGGGAATTGGGATTCGTTCCCAAATCATTTTATGAGACCAACATCATCCTGATACCAAAACCTGGCAGAGACTCAGCAAGAAAAGAAAACTTCAGGGCAATATCCATTATGAACATAGATGCAAAAATCTTCAATAAAATTCTGGCAAACTGATTGCAGCAGCACATCAAAAAGCTTATCCACCGTGATCAAGTAGGCTTCATCCCGGGGATGCAAGGCTGTTCCAACATATGCAAGTCTATAAATGTTAACTCACCACATAAACAGAACCAAAGACAAAAACCACATTATTATCTCAATTCATGCAGAAAAGGCCTTTGACAAAATTCAACAGCCCTTTATGCTAAAAACCCTCAATAAACTAGGTATTGATGGAACGTATTTCAAAATAATAAAAGCTATTTACCCCAAACCAACAGTCAATATCATACTGAATGGGCAAAACTGGAAGCATTCCCTTTAAAATCTGGCACTAAACAAGGATTCCCTCTCTCACCACTCCTATTCAATATAGTATTGGTTCTAGCCAGAGCAATCAGGCAAGGACAAGAAATAAAGGGTATTCAAATAGGAAAGGAGGAAGTCAAATTATCTCTATTTGCAGATGACATGATTGCATATCTAGAAAACCCCATCGTCTCAGCCCAAAATCTCCTGAAACTAATAAGCAACTTCAGCAAAGAAACAGGATATAAAATCAATGTGAAAAAGTCACAAGCATTCCTATACACCAATAACAGACTTAAAGAGAGCCAAATCAAGGATGAACTGCCATTCACAATTGCTATAAAGAGAATAAAATACCTGGAATACAACTAACAAAGGATGTAAAGGACCTCTTCAAGAAGAACTACAAACCACTAATCAACGAAATAAGAGAGGACACAAACAGATGGAGAAGCAGTCCATGTTCGTGGTTAGGAAGACTCAATATCATGAAAATGTCCATACTACCCAAAGTAATTTAGAGATTCAACGCTATCCCCATCAAGTGACCAATGACCTTCTTCACAGAACTGGAAAAAACCACCTTAAACTTCATATGGAACCAAAAGAGAGCCCGCATAGCCAAGTCAATTCTAAGCAAAAAGAATAAAGCTGGAGGCATCACACTACCAGACTTCAAACTATACTACAAGGCTGCAGTAATCAAAACAGCATGGTACTGGTACCAAAACAGAGATACAGACCAATGGAACAGAACAGAGGCCTCAGAGGCAACACCACACATCTACAAGCATCTGATCTTTGACAAATCTGACAAAAACAAGCGATGGGGAAAGGAGTCCATGTTTAATAAATGGTATTGGGAAAACTGGCTAGCCATGTGCAGAAAGCAGAAACTGGACCCCTTCCTGACACCTTACACTAAAATTAACTCCAGATGGATTAAAGACTTAAACATAAGACCTAACACCATAAAAACCCTAGAAGAAAACCTAGGCAAAACCATTCAGGACATAGGCGTAGGCAAGGATTTCATGACCAAAACACCAAAAGCATTGGCAACAAAAGCCAAAATAGACAAATGGGACCTAATCAAACTCCACAGCTTCTGCACAGCAAATGAAACAGTGATTAGAGTGAATTGACAACCAACAGAATGGGAAAAAATTTTTGCAGTCTCCCCATCTGATAAAGGGCTGATATCCAGAATATACAAAGAACGAAAATGGATTTACAAGAAAAAAACAAACAAGCCCATTCAAAAGTGGGCAAAGGACATGAACAGACACTTTACAAAAGAAGACATACATGAGGTCAACAAACATTTGAAAAAATGCTCATCATCACTGGTCATTAGAGAAATGCAAATCAAAACTACATTGAGATACCATCTCATGCCAGTTAGAATGGCAATCATTAAAAAATCTGGAGACAACAGATGCTGGAGAGGATGTGGAGAAATAGGAACACTTTTACACTGTTGGTGGGAGTGTAAATTAGTTCAACCATTGTGGAAGACAATGTGGCGATTCCTCAAGGACCTAGAAATAGAAATTCCATTTGACCCAGCAATCCCATTACTGGGTATATATCCAAAAAATTATAAATTGTTCTGCTATAAGGACACATGTACATGAATGTTCATTGCAGCACAGTTTACAATAGCAAAGACCTGGAACCAATCCAAATGCCCATCGATGATAGAGTGGACAGGGAAAATATGGCACATATACACCATGGAATACTATGCAACCATCAAAAACGATGAGTTTGTGTTCTTTGTAGGGACATGGATGAACCTGGAAACCATCATTCTCAGCAAACTGACCCAAGAACAGAAAATCAAACACCACATGTTCTCACTCATAGGTGGGTGTTGAACAATGAGAACAC